AAAAAAAAAAAAAAAAAAAAAAAAAAGACGGGAATTATTACTCGTTCTGCAATAAGCAGAAAAAAAGTTCCATGTACTACTTATCCAGCATCATGTAACGTATAAATCAACGAACGTAATGGAAATTTCATTTTTCAATCTAACCGTAACAATCAGGAATTCATCTGAGCATTCGATGGAGAAAATAAAATGCAGAATTGAGATTAATAAATTCTATACTATAAAAATAAATATCACTGTAAAATAATTTTCACTACACTTGCCCGTGCCAAACAAACTGGTGAACAAACAAGCCACCACAACGCGAGCGAGATCGACCGATCCGATCGCTGCGGCCGAGTGTCCAACTTTCACTGACAACTTGTTAGGTTCGCCACCGTGGTTTCGAATCATTCACAGTCATTCCGCGACGTTGGTAGATCGCGGCAGCGTCGCTCAATTCCTCGCGTCGAGGCGTGGTTCACATCGTCTGGACAATTTTCGATTTTTCGTTACGTCGCCAGTTTTCGAATTCTACGAGAACAATACCAATCGTCTCGAGTGATACTAGAATTTCGAAATCTTCGTCGCGATTGCCCGTTATTGCTGTGCTCGTGTCAGTGATTTCACTTTCAACCAGATCTGTGCGTTTCGCGAGCTAATTCGTGTTTTTACAGAGGATCCGAGAAACTCGAAATTGCCCGATTGAAGAGGAATACGTAGCCGAGGAGTTTCACCGCGCCGTCCGGTTTTCATTCTCGAGTGTTGGTGATTGCGTTGGGATTGCGACACACACGGTACGAAGAAAGTGGAAGTGAACGGAGAGCGAAAGTTCTGTTATAACTTCCTCCGTGATCGTTGAAAGTCGACGATCTCTGGCCACGAGACTACTCGTGTGTTCGTCGATGCTGCTCACGGGTACGTATCATTTCAACACTTAATATTCAATGTACACACTGTAGAAAATCGGGATAAGCTTGCGACTGTTCTTTCTCGATTCTCACGGCGATCGCCTTTCCTTCTGTTAAATGGTAATTCAACTTGTTACAACGTTAATTACGCACGTAACTGTGGGATTCGTCGAAAGAAAGTGTGTCTGTTGCGAGTGTTCGTGTCGGAGTTCGAAGTGTCCAAGACTAAGTTAGGTCGTTCGTGATTGCGTTAATTGCATCCTCGTCGAACGTAAACGAACGAGGGCCGAGAGATTTTTACAATCGATCGAAAAGGCTAATGGACTCTTAGACGCCTATTAAATTTGTCACTTAGGGCCATTTACCTTCGATGGCGGAGAGATATAATCGCATCATTGTAAACAGCTCTTCGAAATTTCGTTTGGCCGAAACGTGACAGAGAGTACTTTTTTAGCACGTGGGTCATAAATAAACTTTGCAGGTAATTTCCCGAGAATCCGAGAAGAATAATCGAGAAACTGCATTCGTTTGCAGTGAATTCAGAATCCATTGCGCGAACAGAAGGATAAAATTTGTAAACGTCACTATCTGTGTGCCGAGAAATAACGGCCAGATAAACGAAAAGTATTTGGCCAGATAAACAAAGCGGATGACCTGGAGTGCCTAGGTACAGCTGATTGCGGAAAGTATGACAGGAAGAAAGAATGAGTGAACGAGAGAGACAGAGAGAGAGAAAATGACGAATATATTTAAGGTTTGAAAGAGAAAAGTCAATTTTTGCCCGACACAAACGAACGAGATACAGTGAGTATTCTAAGTGAACAGCGAATGTCGAGTTTATGAGAGCAAAATATTCATAAAATATTAAATATTAATATGAATTTAAAAATGTTAAACATTAATCATTTAATATGAAAATATTTCAATCGTTTCTATCTAGAAGTTTCAAAATTTATCAAGTAAAAATCGTACAAAAAAATTTTGAGATCGCATAACACTTTGCTATGCACTTATTGTATATAGTCTATATAAAAAAAAGTCATTGAACCTTGCACAATTGGAAGGAAGAGTTTCCTTTTTGAAATAGTACAATGAACAGAAATTCTAATTAAGGATAATTACTTGTCGCGGTATTCAATAATTTTTATAATTATTCAATACATATAATAATTAGTCTACATTTACATAATTGTAACTAAGCTGTAAGCTGCTCGTTGTAGTTTAAAGTGTCAAAAATGATCAATTAATAATAATCGTGAAACTTCGGAGCTACAGAAAACGAACGATTACGCTATTCCTGTGTACTGTCAAAGCAGCAAATTCTCACAATCACACGAAACTATTGTACTATCAAATATTTAATACCTACACTCGAACCGAGTAACCAATGCTCAAACGCGCCAATACTTACTGCAGTCGCCTGTAATTTTCCGATCCGTGTGCCAGTAGTTAACGTTAACATTCATAAGCTGATTAACATTCGTAATAACATTCAAAAAGAAATACGCGGCTATTAATCGAGTCGTCGTTCACGTCGTTTCCGTTTTAATCGAGCGACTGTTTGCACGCAGGTGTACCAGAGCTAAGGAGACTAAGATACGAACGGGCAGATCCAGTTGCGCGGCGCGTTCTTGCAATCCGGTGGATCTGAATCGGTGGAGGCCGCAGTGAATGGAGGATCGCCGATCGGTGCGGAGGCGGCGTTTCACGTTGCTGTACACGCGAAGGACGCGGGCCAGCATGGTCATGTACATCAGCACCGTGCGTCTCGTGATTCTCCTCGGGATGTTCCTCATGTTCACCGGCGACTACAGCTACCTGACCACCACGATTTTCGGCCGTTCGTCCCGCGAAAATACCACCGAACCGGTTAAAAATCTGGAGGATGCCGGCAGCAAACTTCCTGCGAACGGCATAGCCTTGGCAACGGTGAAGAAGGACAACGAGAAAGAGAACGGTAAGAAACGAATTTATTTGTGCAACAGGAACTAAGAAAACCTCGACTCTCGACGCGTTCTTAATGTATGATAATTCATGGACTGCGGATTTTTCTGCCTTTGTGGCGGATTTTACACCGAAATGTTGCATATAATATTGAAAATACATAATCTTAGTTAATCCGTAAATCTTAGTTCACTTAGTATGTGAAATATTTTTCTACCAAAGTTCTATTTTTTTAAATGACATTTTCAAAAAAACGTGAGTAGTCCAGTAACTATATTATAACGTAATTATATTAACGTAAATTCGTGTCTTTGAGATTGTTAAAAGACAGACTGTTAGAAGGTAGGAAATTGTTTCACATATTACACAT